CCCTAAACCCTAAACCCGAAGCTTGCAAGCCCAGGATCCCGGAAGCTCATTGAAGGAGGCAGCCCGGCGGAAGCATTTCTCACTGCACCAGATAGGCTCAGCCTCTTCTTTGGGTCTATAGGGCCGGTGTAGGGTTTAGATAAACCCTAAACCCTAACCCTAAAGAGCCATGTTAAGGGTAGTCGTGATGCCGTTGCTGGTTTTTTCTTCTGCATCCTGAGTGCTGCAAATTACTACAACTGTTGCATGCGTTGCGGTATTTTCGTCTCGGCATACTCTTGCTGTTCTCAGTTTAGAGGCATTATTGAGTATTGCTGCTCTTCTCGATTGAGGACTGACGTATCAAATTGAAATGTTTTAATGAAAGAGTTGACACGTCAGTTCGCAATTGGCAATGGGCGCGCAGCAGGTCTAACTTATGACTCCCTCTACAGAACTCTGTTGAAACCTTACAATAATACCCCACATCTGCTCCTTTCAGTTTTGCTTCGAGGGTAACCGAAGCTATTCCGGTGAGACAGATGGACACCCTCGTGGCGCACTCGGCTAGATGAGCGCCTTCAGCTGCAAGCCTCTTGTTCCAAGTTTTCTCCGAAACCAAACCACAAAGCTGAATCCCCGAAACCTATATATGTTGATCTCGTTCTGCTGTTTAGGGTTGCGTGCTGTTGGGCTGTCGGCACGGGGGGCTTTAGGGTGTTAGGGTTTAGAACTCATAAATCTCTTGCCGCAGCTATTCTGATGTGATGTGTAGAGTACGGTGTTCATAATGGTAGTGGTAGTGATGACGGTGATGCTGGTGCCGATAACGAACCATTCGTCTGCTACCGGCTGCCAGCGCTCCTAAATGACTGCGACTCTTGATTAGACTGCTGAGTCTTCCGATGTTCGAAACTGAGAGTTTTCACATGTCCGAGATCCCTGAACAAAACCCGAAACCTGGTCCGCAAACTTCAGAAACCTGATCCCTACACCCCTTAACCCAAAAGCCCTGAAGCCCCAAAACCTGGGCCTTCATAGCTGGTAAGAGTACCAATTTACTAACTTCTGGTGTCCTTACAAAGTATCGTACTCTACGCCGGGAATCCCTAAATCTAACCGTTAAGGCCTCCACTATATATATATATATATATATCAGTTGAGGAGCGTAGCCCTTGTAGAATCTAGAATCCTTGTACTAAACCCAAAACCAGTGCCCTTTTGAGGGTGCCTGCACCACCACTCTTATCTCTGCCCCTGCGACCTCAGCCGCTTCAGTGTGACCTCCGAGGCATCAGTAGGGTACGCTTGCCAATATAATATGGGACTTGTGCAGCGGGCCCCAAAAGCAAGGGTTTGGTTGGGGGGTAGGGAAGGCTCCAAACACAAACGGACTGCAAAGGCATACTTATCCCTAGACACTTTAAAGTCGTACGGGGTAGGGTTTAGGCTTTCAAGCCTTCGGGTAAAGTCGCGACCAGGAGGAACAACAACCCAAACCGAGCACACGTCTGCATCGTACATCGCCCAGGCCGCAAGCCCCTCGAAGCCCAAACCCCAAACCCCCAAACCCTGAATCCCAAAGCACTAAAATTCAAACGGCTAAAACCAAAACCCTAATTACACTACATCACAACCTTCAACCCTGCAAATCAAACCCTGAACCCTAAACCCCAAACCGAAACCCCTGAACCTTACACCCTAAACGCAAACCCCTAAACCCTAAACCCTAAACCTTAAACCCTAAACCCTAAACCCAAACCGCTAAACCCTAAACTCTAAAGATCTTACAAGCGAAGCCTGCCAGCAGTTGGGGGTTCTCCTGCGTGCTACGGAAGTAGCAAAGTGGGCTCCGGCAGCCCACGCCCTGATCATACTAGGGTTTAGGGTTTAGGGTTTAGGGTTTAGAGTTAGGGTTTATGGTTTAGGGTTTAGGGTTTAGGGTTTAGGGGTGTGTTGCTCGGAGGTTCATGGGTAGTTATAAGTCAGGTAACTATACTAGGGTTTAGGGTTTAGGGCTTAGGGTTCATGGGTAGTTCTAAGTAGGGACATATGTAGGGTAACTATAATAGTTATATAACCTATGTCAGGGGACTTATAACTCCACTTATAACGTACGGTTGCTCAGGCTGTAGGACAGGCTTCGGGTCATATCAGGTTTCAGAGTAGGGTTTAAGGATTGGGCTTTAAGGTCTAGGGTTTGGGCTGTAATCAGGTTCTAGGCAATACGGCTTCGAGCTCGGGATTTGGGGTTTAGTGAATGAAGGTTCAGGCTTCTGAAGAGCACGAGGATTAGTGAAACGACAAGGAAGATGATGGTAACGACGAGTATTCTTCTTCTGAACATGTGCTGAGGGCGGTGATGGCGATGAGCATAGTATATACTATGTTGATGATGATGACGACGAGCTGATGGTGATGATATTCGCAATGATCACTCCTAGCTGGTCCTCGCTGTTGCTACTACGCCGCTGCGGCTGTTGTAGCTTCTGCTACTCGTCATCTTGCTTTTCAGCTTCTTGCTGCCACTGCGCCTGCTCCTCCTGCTACTGCTCCTTATCCGCCCTGCACCCCGACTCGTTCCCTAGTGTACCTCTCACGCCCACCACCATGACCACCATACACCATACTACTATTACTACTACTACTA